ACGCCTGCAGCAGATAGAAGTTGGTGGTACGTGGGTAACTCTCACTAATACGTCAAGGGTTCGAGCCTCGGTCCATACCAACGTGAGAAGGTTAGGAGTGTCACCCATATATCTGATGCAGACGTCAAACACCGGATTGAAATTCAATCCCCCAAAAACTGTAACCTAACTTTAAGCACTTACTTAAACACTTACTTGAGCACTAACTTGGATAATAACCTGACCTGACCTGACCTGACCTGACCTAACCTAACCTAACCTAACACTAACCTAAGCTAAGAAAACCTAATCTAACCGATTCACTGATCGAGCCACCAGACTTTCTAGTCAGTAGTATACAAATTGTGCAATTATCAAAACACACCAGAATATTACCCGATTATTCTTACATTAAATATTAAATGCACATACCATAAACAACAACACAAATACCTGATAGAAATGACAGCTCAGGTAGAATGTTGAGGCTGCGATGGCCAACCACAAGGAACCAAGAATTAACGCCGTAGCCACTACCAGCACGCCATCACTAACAGTAAGCTGTGATACAAACCTTCGTCCACACCCCAGGAGCAGATATACACCGTATGTCGCAGACAAGAGACCTCTTTCACCCCTGTCACTAGCCATTGATTGAGACTGAGGTTACCAGGCAGACACGCTTGTCTGATACCTCGGTCCGCAGCAGAGCCGTCACATAGTCAGACGGGAAACTGGTTGTGACAGGAGCTCACTGGGGTCGAGCAGCTTCGTGAAGCAGTTTCTTCTCCTGGTGTCAAGTTGACCCAGTGTTGAAGTGGTTGTTAACTTGTTATGATGAGGAGGAGAGAGAGTCGTCTCAGTAATGTACAAGTATATATATATATATATATATATATATATATATATATATATATATATATATATATATATATATATATATATATATATATATATATATATATATATTCTCTCTCTCTCTCTCTCTCTCCAGTATACATGTATGTATAGATAGATAAATAGATCGATGGTGGGACACGGACATTTAAAAAATATTTTTTGTATTATCTTATTTTATCTTATTTTCTTCATTTTACTATAGGGCCTAGTCCGTGGCCCACCTGAGGACCACCCCATGGCCCACCAGTTGAAGACCACTGCTGGCCTATACTTATTGTACAGGGGCCCCATACTCCGGGCCCTATACTTATTGTACAGGGGCCCCATGCTCCGGGTCCTATACTTATTGTACAGGGGCCCTTATGGTTGTGAACATATTATATAATGAAATACTCGGTTATACGCTGGCATGCTGCGCGACAAATTAGTTTCAGTGGGGCCCCAGATACCGGTGGGCCCTAGGCCAATGGCCTACTTGGCCTATTGGTAAATCCGGCCCTGCCTACCCTTAAATTACCTTTCACACGTGCTGTGATGTGGCAATCTACCCCCAGGGTCACACTATTGTAGTTCCCAATTTCCCACAACTGATCATCGATAAATGTGCCCTGGGTCATATTATATTCCATGTCATATTTCTTAATGAAAGTACTAATATGACTAATTTACTCACCCTTTAAAAAACTAGGTATTTGGTGTAAAAATATCGTATGTCTTGTTGCTCATGTAAGGCTTGTAAGCAAACGTGTTACGTCAGCAAGACGACTCAGGCTCTCAGCTTCCTCGTCTTGAGGCAGAGAACACACACTACTACACACTCAAATATTATTACAAAAATTACTTTAATCCATCTTGGATTTTTGATTTAACGTGTTTTAAAGTGTATTTCTTTTACATCACGTTAAACTGGGTATATATCCTATCATGTACTTATTTTCTTATGAAACTAGTGACCTTTCTGACCCGGCTGATTCTGATGGCGAGTTTGTGATAATTATTTAACGTGTAAATCACTTGGGGCTAGAAGGAAATTATCACATGTATGCTGTAGAAGAAAAGTGTCTTTCTATTACCTTTATCCTCTTCACTGATCGGCTCGTTATTGTGATCACAGATGCATAAAGTTGTGATCCTCACTGAAGTGGTGTATTTTTTCCACACTGATAACCACATCCCCATGAGGCCTACCAATATTTTTGCCAGGAAGCCTGAAACTGTCTATGATTACACCATTGCTAGAGAAAGGACTGCATATAACGAAAGATGAAAACAGCTGACTATCATATCAAGACCTAGACTTAACATAACCTATTATTGGGTGTTGTTGCTAAATTTTAACTCTAAAAGATTCCATCAAAAAGAACTCTTTTTAACTCTGCAGTGGTGTAGAAAATCAAAATTTTCTGGTCTGGTCTTTGTGAATTTTCAAGACAAGGAAGTATGTACTGTCCTGTACTGAAAACTTGTGTAGCAAAGTCAATGTGACTATACCTTGCTGTTTACCTTTCCTCCACCAGTGGCAGGTAAACCACCCAGAAAGAGTCAATAATATGGCCTGCAACCAACTCTTCCTCACATGTTTAACATTCTAAGTAGCCATGTGTATGCATGTGTCTGTGAAGAGGTTATTCTACCTGTTAGAATCAATGGCTGAACAATAAGGAGTTTGAAATATCAATATTAAGCTGGTCTATATTAATGATGGACTTTGTGGTCACATCGTATGAGCCCTTACTCATAATATCCATTTGTTAATTATCTTTGCAATGTTTATGATTTACCTGCAAAATTTGTCTTCAATAATAATGCAAATTTCAACACAACAGGTTAAAATTGTTCAACATTTTTTATTTGTAAGTATAATACCCTGTACAATACTGCATTGGAATGAAGTTTGTATACAGTACCATGGTTGACTTTCAAGTTGAATCAACATGTTTTTTCTTAATGTTTTGCAAATATAAGTAACTACTGTACATAACAGCATTTTATCTTACTCATAATATTTTAGAATAAAAATAAAAAGATTAAAGGAAAGTTGGAGAGGAGGAAAGGATAAAATATAAAGATGAAAGAGATAAAAATAATAATACTGTACTTGCTCTCCTTCAGGTCCCCTTGAAACACTGCACTTACTCCATGATCACATGTTGAAATTATTTTCCAATTTTCTGAGATGTTTTCTGCTGAAGTCAGGTACAGAACCACCATGGCAGCTGTACAATCATAACAAAGCCCCAAAGAGTAAACAGCACAAAAAGTGGTCGAGAAGACATTATGAGCAAAAAGTGTAGGGACCAGAAAAGGACAGAATCTCCAGAAGACATAACAGCAGCGGTGGGCACAGCAAAATGAAAAGTTAGCTTCGCTAACCGCTAATCTGCTAACTAAAACGTTAACTTCGCTAACGCTAAACCGCTAAACAGCTAAAAAAATTAGCGGAAGCTAACGCTAACAGCTAACTTTTATTATATGAATTTAGCTTCGGTCTGTTTGTTTTTTGGCTCTAAAACCCTTAAAAACAGACCTAGAGAGCTGAAATTTTCATATATTGTCTTGTAGCTTAGTCATAGAGCTTTCCCAAAAGGTATAGCATGCCAAGATCAGATGATGATCAAGGTGTACACAAATAATTAAATGAACAAATAAAATTAAACATTAGTTTACATTCAAGTTTCTACATACACTTCTATAATCTTTATATACTGTACAAAAAGACAGTAAGTATTAAACGAATCCAAAAACTATAGTATACTGTATAGCATAGGCAGCAAATAGCATCATGCCAAGATCAGATGATGATCAACTTATCAAGGTGTACACTGTACACAATTTCACAATTAATTAATTTGAATTCTCATACAACCTATCGGCCTTATTCATTATTCATGTAAAAATGCAATACCACCAACATACACATTATACCAGTGCATTTTTATATAACTTATTGTTGGTCTTGGTCATGTAAATAAACAGAAAACTCTAAACTTTAATGAAAAGTAAGTTTGTGGAAAATTTTGTACGTTTACACTTACTAACACACAGTCAGCCCAGCATGCCTGACTGGCTGTTGGAGACACGTGTTACGGCGTCACGCGCTTACAACAGCCAGGAACAAACATGTATAAATTTTGTTAGCGGACTTAAAGTTAGCGGAACTAAATTTAGTGGAAGCTAATTGGTCCGCTAATGGTTTCCAAAGTTAGCGAAAACGTTAATCCGCTAACGAGAGTTAGCTTCGCTAATTAGCGGTTAGCGGAACCGTACCCACCACTGGATAAGAGATAGGCAGGATCCTTATGAGCTACGAACAAAATTTGGTCCCATGTATTTTAGATCTCTGAATTTTTCTAAAACCATTAATAATTACATTGTGATGTTCTCAAGTGTCAGAAAAAGATTAATTCCATATTTTTTAAGTCTTTAGTAAAAGGGATTTACTTTAATGCTATTTAAGAAAATGTTTGATATGTATTTTGGTATACGGTACTATAAAAAAAAATCAAGCAAATGGCAATGATAAATGACAATGAAGAATGATACTCAAAAGATATGGAATTTAAGAATGTTGCTCTGTAAAAATGGTACTGTACAATGAAGAGTAAAATGAGATGATAACAATACATATATGGAAGTGTGAATGTTAAGTTTGGCAGTATACAGTTGTGTGTCATTCATCACCACCACAATTTTACTGCCACTTTCCAAGCTTACATGGATTACGGTAGTCAGTTACTTGATGGAATGGTGTCCTGGTTGCCATCAAACAAATCTAAAGCAAATTTTAAGGCTGGATCCCCCTTCTTATTGTCAACCTAATTTTACAGTGGGAAATAGACTTATATAATTACAGGACTTCCAAGTGCACTCATTGCTAGCAAGGTGAGGTTGCTACTTCCTGAGGTAATCAAAGAAGTGTAGAAGGAATAAGGGTTGTACAATATAGTCCTAGTAGTGAAATATGCCCTTGGAATATAGCAGAATGCTTTAAGATTTAAGCTATGGAAATGACTTACCTGAGGTTGCTACCATATAGATATGTGATGTGTGGGGGGAAAAAGGAAGTATAGAGGGCAAGCAGTGTGTCTTATGGGAAAGTAATGTTTAAATTAAGCTCATTGTAAATTAGTTCTGCGAACAATTCATTTATTTTATAAGGTATAAAATATATTTTCATATCTCTGATAGTTCACAACTGTACATTCATAAATAAAAAAAATTGAGGACACAAGAGAGGTCTTCAAGTGTTTGAATCTTGAAGTGGCATTACAATCTTTGGTTTTATAAACTTGTGTCCACTCTTAGAAAAGCTTCCTAAGTGCAGTAGCTCTCTCAGTCGACAAATATCATCAGCAGTATAAAAGTATACAAGATTGCTCGAATGAGAATTAATAAGATGAAACACATCTCTTGCTGAACAAATGACACTGTTTCCATTAGCATTAATAGTGTCACATATAAGTTGTGTAATACTGTTCCCCACCGCCTCTGCCACGCCATGCCCGTGTCCCGGTTCCAAGAAGATACATTTAACCTCGACTCCATATTTCCGGGCACATTCTCGAACCCCAGAAATATGGGTCTGAGGGTCTACGACGAAGGTTAGCGTTGCCATTTCATCCTTAATTACTCTTTTAAGAACCTTTTCCAGACTTGCACAAACGGCTGCAGATGTTCGATCATTGGAATCAGATAATGCTACAAATCCAGTGGACTCCAGATCTGACCACATATACCCACTTTGGAGGCTAATAACAGTTTGAGTGTCTGGCACATCTTTTTTACTAGCAGACTGCAAAATGATTAAAGGTGACCAGCCAGTTTGGATAACAGAGTGTAAAGCCGATTTTGCTGCCTCGCACTTTGCTTCATATGCAGCCTCATACTGCCTATATGTGCGCTTTATGTGGTCCTTCAAAGAATATAATTCACTTTCTAACAATGAGGACACTTCACCGAGCGATCTCGTTAGGGATTTTTTACGAGGAATGAGCGGTCCACTGCCAGATGTGCCTACAGACCAAGTAGTATATGTTAAGAGAGCATTATGAGACTTTAAGGATCTCAAAATCTTGATGAATGATTTAAATGCTTCTTCATCCTCAATTATTTCTTCAATATTTGTGTTCATACTTAAGTATCGTCTCTTCACCATGCTCTCTATTTTCAGTTCTGGATTTTGACAAGTCATACAGAGACAAGAATCCAACTCATCTGCCTTACACTTCAACACATTACACGGAATGTATTCGCAAAAGGTCTGGAAAGAACAAGATTTGCAGCAATCGGCTATGAAGCGTTTGTGAAGCACGGAAAGGAAATGTAGTCTGTATCGTATGGGTTTTGTCTTACCAGAAGATGTAAAAGTTTTCTTGCTCATTTGAGATACATCATCAAGCATCATGAATTCCTGTATAAGACACTGGAGTTCATTTTCTGAGGTACAAGAACTAGTATTATCCTTTAGTGTTGGAGGAAAGTCTTTCACATCCTCATCAGTATCTTCAGAATCAAAGGTAATTATTCTTTTAAATATATCCAGATTCTTTTCGCCACCTTTTTTTCTCGTACTCGTAGACAGAGGTTCACTACGAAAGAACATTTTCCTACTAAATTTGGTCTTAGTAGCACTTAATTCATGGCCTTTTTCCACGCCACACAAGTTGGGGTTGTCAGAAGTATCTCCATTGTCGGTTTTACCTTCTCTACCCTTCACTAGTTTTTCACGTAACTTACTATTTTTTCTTTTTTCAATTTTAAATTTTTTCCATAAAGTTCGAATTGTTTTTTTGTGTGACATTAAAGTGACTTTCATCTTACTTAATTCCATGAGTTCCCTCCTTCTCTTTCTAATAAAACACTTCTTAAGGTTTGACTGAAAATGTTGACGAAGGTTTCCTGCTTGAGAACATTCTTGATTGAGCACATCCTCTTGGCAAATTGTCTCATCCACTTGTTCTTTTTCCTGGTTTGAATATTCATTTGGCTGAGCTTGTAGTGTGCCCTGTAACTGGTGACACACTGAACCATCTCCCACATCTTCCTGTAAAGTGATGAAGAAAAGTTAATTTTTATGCAAATCTCAAATCACCTGCCATATTTCTAGAGGTAGAGTAATGTACAGTACAATACAGTAGTTACAAATCTGTGTGCAGTTTGCTACAATATGTACTGTACACACAATGCTTTTCTGGGTTTTGAAGATATACTATTTGTTTTAGGAATGACAGATGATGTCTCAGAATATGTTAAAAAACAATGGACTGAAGGATCAAATCTCATTTTTTGGCTGAGAAGAAGAGACAAGAAACCTGAGAATTAACCCTACAAGAACACCTCTTGGCCTTGTCCAAGAAGCTACTCTACAGTATCTGTATTATGAGGTTATGACATTAAACTGCAGGAAGGCATTCCCGTGCCAGTCCCTGGGTATCTGATGGTCTTGATACATGAACGGGAAAGGATTTGCTTTCAAATGGGTGAGGGCAACTGCAGCAATAGTACTGTACTGGGATCACAAGGAGCCTGGTGCCACTCCTTTACATACTCCTTTGTCGATTTTTTGTTGAAATATATACTACAGATGTTGTAAAATTTTAATGTATGAAACAGTGGAGTGCTGTATACAGGGGGTCCCCGACTTACGAATGTCCGCCAATATGAAAGGGGTTAAACTTTAAATTTACAGTACTGTACTGTATTTTATTTACCTTATGATTTATTTTCCACTTTCATTTACTGTATTTTGTCATTCTATTTCTTATTTTCTCTTAAAATAAGTGATTTTAGATGTATAAAAGGACTCAGGCTATGATATTGTGGGATTTAAAAAAAAAATTCTGTAAGAACAGCATGCACATAGCATGTGTTCCGATTTACGCACATTTGCGACTAAAGAACGTCCTCGGGAACGGAACCAGTTTGTAACCCGGGGGATTGTTTAAGTTCTATGACTAAAAATATGAACAACAATATCAACGAGCAATTTAAGACTGTTTTACGCTCTCAACAACACTTGAAAATTTATGGTCAGAACAACAACACAGCTTGGAGACGATGACCTCATTCTTTTCTTCAATGATGTTAACATTATTGCTACACGGTGACCAGTGATATACTGTATATAGAATGCCTCGTCACTGAGATACTAAATGTAAAGTGTCACTGATAGACGATTACCATAATAGATCATAAGCAAAAAATATGAATTATGCTGCAAATATCTTTTCACACACAATCACTATCAAAGCTGAGCCATTAAAGTGAATTTTATGGGTTTTGTTACTTTTTTACTCCCACATATTGTTGAGTAGTGGTCGGTGTACAGTATGTATAACCGTGGTTGGATCAGACATGGCCAGTCAGTTGAAGGAAGGAAGGAAGATTCCCTGTAGGTTGAAATACCTACAGTGTTGGAGGAAAATAGTTATTAAAGCCAAAAATTTCAGCAAGAAGTATATAACTACTGTACATTGTAACCTCCATATAACGGAGTTCTCCATCCATATAATCAGTTAGATGGAGGTTCCCCATCTAACAGACCCTTGATATAATGGACTGTCCTCTCCATAGTCCATTAAATAGAAGTTTCACTGTAAAGGTAAGACAGTGTTGTGACAAATTTGTTCTGTACTAAAAAGAAAAAAAGTAAGATTTCAAGTTTTAAAACCTCACATACAAGAATGATGAGAATCTAAAATTAAAACAAAAAAAATACAACAAAATTCATAACTTACGCTGGTCTGATCTTGAAGGTGGCTGTAGTTCAGCTCCTCCGAGACTTTTGGATGATGATGCTGTGTGTGAGAGTTGATCCAATAGTTACTGCCACTTGCTCCACTTACTGACTGCTGCAATGCTGGTGTTGGTATGTAGTTGCATGCTGTACTAAAAGTAGTGGAGGTGATATTCTGATAGGCAAAGTCATTACTGTTAGAAGTTGATGAATGTGGATGGTGGGTGACTGACACAGGAGGAAGGTTTGCAACACATGTAGAAGAACATTGTTTTTGATCATATGTTAAATTTCCATTGCTGAAAATCTCATCCTGTGAGTGTTGGAAAGGTAGTGTTGGGGTGACTGAGCACTGTGTGTGGTACTGCAAGTCTTGGCTGGACACATTGTTTTCTAGAGTATTACTGACTGCATACCCTACTTGAAGTTCAGGTTTAATGTCTGCTACAATGGTACACTGCCCAGGAGCATTTACATTCGAATACAGTGCTGGAGATGACATTGGCTGAGCTGAAGCATTAACATTTGAAGATTGAAAAAGGGAATATTGTTTCTCAGAAGGATCAGCATAAGAATGAGAGTAGACAGGCAGAGGTTCATCTTTAACCTCTATAGTATCGTATAATGGTTGTGGGTGCGACGTTACTTGAACAGTAGTTGTGGAATCAAAATGCTGAGAATGAGTTGACGTAAACTCATCCGATATACTCGAGGACTGGCAGAGTTCTGGCATCAGAGGAACTAAATCACTGGCTGTATCCGAGGAGTCGTACTCTCGTTCATAACAGAGTGAATGAGAGGCAATGGGTGAACTCTTACCAGGTTCGTTTACATTAACATATTCAGACTCATTCTCACTCATGTTACCTTCTTGCTCTTCATGAATGACATATGAATTATCTCGGTCTTCAAGAGACATGTATCCCTCAGGGCAATGGTAACTTGAAGTAGAAATATTAGAGCAACTGAGTTGATTACCATGGTGTGTGATACCATTTGTAATATGTTCAGTTACAGATGGAAGAGAATCTTTGGGTAGTACCTCTGAAGCACAATTTTCATGAGAGACAGGTAAAGATCTATCATCAATGTGGGAAACCTCATCCTGCTCTTGTGACAAAACTGAAGATTCACCCGAAACATTAAGCAGCTGCTGATGACTCTGGGGTTCTGGGGCAACATTCATCACTGTTTTTTCATACTTCTGTTGAGTGTTTTCAGAATACTCATTAGCAGTGCCTTGGGTATCTGACTGTTGACAGGCGGCACTAGTTCCTGACGTACAAGACTCAATTTCATTGCATTCATCAGTGGCTGCAATATTTTCCTGTGGAGATGAAGCACATTCATTATCTATATCGGGTGGCACAGACTCTTCCTCAGGAACAGGTGAAAACATACCACAGGTGTCTAGATTAGGACCCTCACACTCTGAAGGAGGTGAAGACTTGCACTGAACACCTGTGGTCCCTTGTCCATCTTGGTCAGCGTCGGCTCTACAACAGGCTGACTGATGCTGCAGATCTGAAGAAACTACCAATTCCTCTGGTGATTGTGCATCATTTTCAGTGTCCACATTACACTCGGAAGAATCAGACTTTTGCTCACATGAAGGAACAAAATCACAAACAGTAGCTGATGACAAAGGTTGCTGAACAGACACAGATTTCTTGTCTGTGGCAGTTACATTTGATTGCTCTGGTTGTTGAATGACAACATTTTTGTGGGTAAGGCTTGAAGTTGTTGACTGAAGCTCTGGTATGGACATTAAATTTTGTCCATGAGTATCTACTGATGACTTCATAGAAGGAACAACTATAGTTCTGTATAGTGTACCAGACTGTATATCCTGTTTGGGCAATATCTTACAAAACGCAGCACAAGATGTACTTGGTAATGGCGGACGAGGCAGTATTTTACGCCCCTGACCAGGTGTGGCGGCCTGCAGAGGAACAACAGGCGTTACTTTGTCATTTGTTCCAGAGATGAAAAGTTTCTTTTCATGAATTTTTATATTTTTTTCCACTGCATATGAAGCCACAGATCCAACCTTTAGAATAGGCCTGTTCTTAAAGGTGGCACAAGATGGGGACACAGTTTGTTGATGCAACCGTTTTAATCTATTGTTTATTAAAGAACGACAATAAGTCTTAATTGGTTGTATTGGCACTTTTAAATTAGTTTTGCTTGGTGCTACACAATGTAATGAGACAGTTTGATGAGCCTCAGTGGAGGCTGCAGGCTGCACCTGATGTATGGCAGCTTGGTTCTGACTGCAAGATGGAGACCGAAACTGTACAGTTTGATTTGAACCATTACAGCTAATGGACTGTAGCTGCTGTTGAAAAGACATATTCTGACTGGTGGATGAAGTATCTGACTGCAAGTAGTGGATGTGAGGCTGATGTGTGCTGGCAGATGGTAAACTTGTTTGGAGTTGTTGGAGTGGAAGATTAGTTTGTGCATTACCTTGGTTAACCGGCTGCAATTGTTGAACAGGAAGAGTTTGAGGTCCATTTGGTTGAGGTACTTGTTGCAGTGGTTGTATAGGAGAAGTATGCTGAGCAATGTTTGGATTCACAGAACTTATCTGTTGGAGAGGTATGGCTTGTTGATTACTGGCATGTGGTAAAGCTTGTATTTGATGGAGAGGTAGAGATGAATGGCTATTACTGAACTGCTGAAGGGGCATAATTTGTTGTGTGGAAACAGGTGTTATGGACGATAGTTGCTGCAGAGGTATATTTTGTTGTTGACTAGCTGGTGCAAGGGTTTGTAACTGTTGGAGAGACATTGTTTGATGTGCACTTGCTGGGGCAATGGGTTGTACATGTTGAATAGGAGTAACCTGGCATGTAGTTACAGAAGGTATTGCCCGGAGTTGTTGTAAAGGCATGATTTGATGCGAGTTACCTGATGGAACAGATTGCAACTGCTGCATTGGCATTGTTTCATGTGAACTTCTTGATGTGATGGTTTGCAAGTTTTGTATATTTTGATGAGAACTTACAGATGTTAAGGTCTGTAGATTCTGAAGAGACATATTTTGATGTGAACTTCCAGTTGTCATAGTCTGTATATGTTGTACAGCCATACTCTGCTGAGAATTTCTAGATGTTATAGTCTGCAAATTCTGTACAGGTATATTCTGCCGAGAATGTGCGGATGTCATCGTGTGTAAATGCTGTATAGGCATATTCTGCTGTGTATTGCCTTGTGGAATGGTTTGCACTTGTTGCATTGGGATGGCTTGTGAACTTCCAGATGCTATAGTTTGTACTTGCATTGTCTGCTGTGAACATCCAGATGGAACAGTATGAATCTGCTGTAGAGGAATAGTCTGATGTGAGTTCCTACTTGGCCTGTTTTGTAAATGTTGTACAGGCATTGGCTGATGTGAACTCACTGATGGTATGGCTTGTAGAGGTTGGAGGGGCAATGACTGATGTGTAGTGACAGATGCAGTGTTTTGTAAAGGATGAAGGGTCATACTCTGTTGAGTATTTAGAGTCTGAATTTGTTGAACTGGAATATTCTGTGGTGTAGAAACTGAACAAATACTTCGTAATTGATGTATAGGTAAAGTTTGCTGTGAGCTAGAAGTTGGAATGGATTGCATTTGCTGAAGGGGAACTGTCTGATGCATGCTGACAGGAGTGAGAGTCTGGAGGTGTTGAAGGGATACAGACTGTTGCTGTGGGTGTATAATCATTCCTGATGGTTGTCTAATGGAAGGCTGTTTAGGCCAGAGTAATAGTTTACGTCCAACACCTGACTTGGTTGATTGTTTTTGTTGGATGTGCCCAACTGTTTTTGAGCAATCAGCTGGTGCAGACTGTATGTGTGTTGCAGGACTCACTCTAGTACAAGAAACAGGTAGTGTTGATTTTAGTTGTGGGACAGACATAGGCTTTGTAACAATGGTTGGAATAGTTGCCTTCTGATTAGATATGGCAATAGTTTTCTTACAATGACCAACTGTTGAAGAATTTAGCTGTGGGACTGGAAGAGTAGTGTGGTTTGAACTTGGCAGAGCAGACTGTAACTGATGTATGGGTATAATGTTGCAATTATTACCTGGACTAATGGAGTGAATCTGGTTAAGAGGAGTACCTTGGTGTACAGAGGAAGTATTAACTGACTGTTGTAAGGGCACTGTTTGTTGCTGTGGGTGAACCAGGGATGTTGGAATATGTGGTCTGGGTAAAATTTTACGTCCGGCACCCGCGGAATTTGTTGCTACTTTTGGTAAGGAAGCTGTTTTAAGAGAAACAGTTTGTGTACCAGAAGATTGGTGTTCTGGCATTGGTTCAGTCATCTGTTTGGGAGGGCACTGTGTAGCAGGCTGTAGGTGAGAGATGGGAAGGGGGGCATGAGTAATATTTAGATTTGGAACTTGTATCTGTGGTCTTGGTAAAATCATCACTGTCGTCCCAACAGCGTTTGACTTAGGTTTATGCTTCTGATGTATCTTGCGTCTACGGCCTCGGGTACGTGAAGGTTGAAGCTGGAGTATCGTCTGGTGGCTGCCGAACAGGCCCACATCTGCCACCACTCTCGCGGTTTCTTCCTCTTTTGGCTGAATAAGAAATAACACAAACTATCATTAATTGAACATGTCATATGTAAAGAAGTGTACTCATACATTCTGAACAAAATTAAACATGTTAAGATACCAGATAAATAGGAAGAATGTTGGTTGAACATAATTTTCAAATACAAAGTCAATTACACTGTGTCTGTAAGTTTTAAATTACAGAACATTTGTACACATTTTTTTAAAAATATAGACTATCTTTAATATACGTTAGTTTTCACTTTCCAAAAAAATGTCGTTTCACGTCAAAAATACGATTGACCTAATACTTTGTGTTTCGGCAGGTAAGAGTCCTACTATGGATTTTGTTCAAATTTCATACAAAGGTACTACAGCAGACCCTTGCCATTCACGAGGGTTAGGTTCCAAGAAATGGCGCGAAATGGCAAAACCATGAACAGCAACTTATACTACCTTAGTGCACTACTGTATACCTATACCAAACAACTGACTAGCCAGGGCAGCAGCAGTCATCCCCTCTTTTAACTTATCTAATAATAAAACTTCCTTTGTCAGGGTCATCACTGACTTCTGCCTTTTACATTTCATCACCAGCACCGACACTAGGCAGTCTTTCACAGACCATTTCACACAGAAACACTAGAGTTTTGAGAGTACAACACAAGATACTGCGCGGGGTAACTCGTTGTGCTGCTGGAAAAAACTCACAAGCTAGCCACCATCTGCTTTGCGCAAATCGTCTAAATCAAGAATCGCAAGCTCGTGAATGGCAAGGGTCGTCTGGGTTCACAATTTAAAATTTTTAGTAATTAGCGTTCATTAATGATCTTTGAAATACTGTAATTGAAGATATTTAGAATACAGTATTTAAAAACTAAATTACACTGTGCCCCAGGGTTGGCCAATTTAAACCAATGCTTTAAACAAAAAAAACATTGCTTTTTAATTAAAAAATATTTAAGCCAATGGTTTTTAGTTAAAAATAAAGTGTTTTTTTGCCAACTTTGACAGAAAACCCAGCAAAATGTATACAGGTACTATCCGACTTACGACGGGGTTAGGGACCGACATCCAGGTCGTAAGTCGAAATGGTCGTAAGTTGGAAATGCTTAAATAACACATAGAAAATCGAAAATGGGGGGGTCTCTTTTTCTTCTCAGCACCATAAAACACTCACTTTTAAGCTTGCCAGCCATTTTAAAGTGAATTACAGATGAACATTTTGTCTGTGTACTGACTTTGGGACTCGAAAATACGTAATTTGACCAAATTTTGGTACGACTGAGGCAGGTCGTAAGTGCGGGTGGACGTAAGTCGAGTAGGTCGTAAGTCGGGGAGTACCTGTATAGGTTCATGACATCATGAAGAAGTCCAAACTGTGCTGTGTAAGCCCTAAAGAAACATTATTTCTTCATATAACATACAACTAAGACATGAGAAGTTATGCTAACATTAATAATACTTATGTATAGTACTGTACAACCAGCCCTAAGCTATACCAATGCCTAAATACTGTATTCAGGTGCATTACCATCTTGTTGCTAGGCTGGTTGCACCATGGAAGAGTTTTGTGTGGTACTGTGCTGTGTCAGTACTACTTGTTATCAAGTTAATATCTGTTAAAAATCACAAACTTTTTAAAAACCTGGGAGTTACTGACTTGACTGTTATGAAATATCACTTCAAATGGAGTCGACTTTAATATTAAGAAGAGAAAGGCTAAGATTTGTATTGCTTGCAGTAGGTACAGTACAGTACAATATATGAAACATATGATCAAAATACCTGTACTATATATGAACTGGTGGTACCTTAGTAGGTCCACACAAAGGAAAACTGCCTCTTCCAACCTGCTGACCTCTAGGACTGTGTGGGTAAGTTATGTACAAACTTCAAATAATTTGTACAAATGCCCAAAAACTTTTCAGAATTTTTGGATATTTCGCCCATGAGAAAAACACACAAATTGGTTGGTACCGTAACTTTGAGGTTGTTGAGTATACACCCACACTATTGTAAACTCACATATTTCCTAACCATATACTGAAAGGTGCACTACCATGGCAGATGCATCTCTAACTTAGCAAGGAATTTCTGGAAAAGGTATTGAAGCAGTGACAACTTCCTCATCAGTGCTAAGGAACCTAACTCTGCCTTATATCTTAAATGACCTCGTGTTAACAGTTCCCTTGTGTGTTTATCACTGAATTGTGTTTCATCCATTTGGATCGAGTTTTCATGAGGTTATAGTTATAAAAAACTCATAAATTATAAGACACAACAAACAGATGAAGCTTTGTTTAGCTATACCTGTTAATAATTTTTTTTTTATTGTTCGAAGACTTGCTATTGCTGTGACTACCATACTGCATTAAAGCATAAAAGCTTCCAAGCACAAAGTATTATTACTCACCACAATTTCCAAATATAAATACTATACACAATTCATTTAACAAAATAAAATAAAATATTTTATAATGCCATTAAATACAGTATGGATAATTAACAATACTCTGTTGTGTTACATAATCTGGTGCTTAACTGAGATATAGTTTAACCCCTTCATTACAGGGACTTCACTTTTATTATATTATTTGGCTAATGCCAGAAGATTTTATTCAACTCAGAGGTGACCCCGTACAAAAGGGATTAAATTTCTCATTTCTTATCAAATAACAAGTTCTATAAAGACTTATTATCTGCACATATATTAACCAAAAAATATTGATATTTATCTTTATTTAAGTGGGAGTAAGGTTAGTTGAGGGGCTGGCCACACAGTAGCCACACTATCATATCTTTAAACAGGAATACTGTATAATCTTACCAACACCAGGTCATCTTCCTGTTCCTCCAGCTTTACTCGGCAAACCTGTAAACGAGTGAAACTATTAAAATAACACCAAGAAAGATGAAAAACATGTATATACAGCACTGTACTGTATATAGAAGCTAATCCTAAAATTTACTGTAGTATTCTTATGGTGGAGCCTGTAGCAAGGAGACCTTTGTACAGTACTGAGAGTTTACTTCTGGGCAGATTAAGACTAGGTGGGGACCCATGGCAATATGATAACAAGGGAACCCATCAAATAACAAGCCGTTTTAAATGTGTTTTTTTTTTTAATTTGTCATTATTTACCTATACAATTTGAGAGAAGCAAATAAAATCAACTAATTGAACAAAGCAATAAAATTCTATACACTGTAGACTTATCTCATATAAGTTAAACATAAATAATTAGCCTCTGGCAGACACATCCCACAACAGAGGGTCACACTGTTCTGGACATATCCCACTTCTGTTGTGATACAAGTTCACTCTCTCTTATCCATCAACCAGCAACTCCCAATTAACAGCAATGTTTTAGAAACATTATCTGGCAAACCTGCAAATTCAAGACAGGTTCAACAGCCATATAGTTGCCCAGTTGGTTCTAAACCTAATTCTATCAATGTTTCATCACACTTTTGCCAAGGAACATACTGTATTAAGAACATAAGATTGGAGGAAACTGCAGTGGGCCTATTGGCCCGTACTGGGCAGTCCCATTTACACCCAACCCTTATCGCTCATACATCCAACCTATGTTTGAAACTATCCAGCGTATTCAAGTTAATGATAATGTTTGGTAACTTGTTCCACTCACCCACTACTCTATTTCCAAACCAATGTTTACCTATATCGCGCCTAAATCTAAATTTGTCTAATTTAAAACCATTGCTAAGAGTTCGCTCCTGGTTGGATAGTTTTAGTACCTTTGTTATATCATCTTTGTTTAGCCCTGACTTTCAATTTTACACCTCGATCATATCGCCCCTCACTCTACGTCTCTCGAAGGAGTGCAAATTAAAATGCTTTAATCTGTCTCTCTACTCAAGGTTCCTATTGTCCGGGATTAGTCTTCTAGGGATTCTATATCCATTCTGTAGTACGGTGACCAGAACTGAACTGCATAAACCAAGTAAAGGAGGACACTTGTATTTATGGTAAATTTTGTACATTTCATTGATATGGAGAGTCGTTAACATGAAAGGGGTGTTGGTGGTACAGCGGTAATGAGCGCATCTCTCACCGATACGTCAAGGGTTTGAATCTCGCTTGGCTCGGACACATGTCAGAAGGGTGTTAGCCAATGTGACCCTCACTACCAAACATCACAGATTTCCCACACTCTTGTTTCCTCCTGTACTAACACTGGATAGATCAACCACCTGAATGGCTAGTAAGCACTTTATTATACCAAGAAACCGAATATGTATTTAATTTACGGTACAGTATATATAACACTGTATTAAAAAAAAACTCACCGACTCATCTACATAAATGTATTCTGGCTCCTCTTCCTTGACTTCCACCTTGATCGTTGACTCCACACTCTCAGAGGCAACAGGATCCATGACTGATACAGGCTGGAAAAAACAATCATACAGTATATAACTATTAAAACATAAAATGAGCCTCAAGATTATCATGATAACCTACAATAGATCACTAAATACATGATTAACGGAACACACCGAAGGGAAAACAAAATACATTTTGTCACTTATCAAATTCTTTTGAAATTAATATAAATAACTCAAGCAAGTGTATGAATGTTGATCAAAATTAACTTATAGCCCAACAAGAATCTGGTAAAGCATAGTTATGGAACAGAGCACCATGGCACTGCCCCCGTGTACTATACAGTGGACCTTGATGAAGAATGAGCACCATGGCACTGCCCCCGTGTACTATACAGTGGACCTTGATGAAGAATGAGCACCATGGCACTGCCCCCGTGTACTATACAGTGGACCTTGATGAAGTATGAGATAGCTACAGTGTCTCATTCTTGTTTTGTATCAAGGTTATCTTCTTATAGGGATTACCTCAGGTAGTTGTGACCCTACTTTGCCACTCTTGGACCCATTAAGAGTGACAATACTGAGTGTGAGCTCATTCAAGACCAGACTTGACCAACACTGATGCAGGTACAGATACAACCTGGAGCCAGTACATGCCAACAACAGTGCATAACAGAGATGTGACCAAGCAGATAACAGACCAATTAGTGGCAAAGATGATAAAAGTAAAGGTGATACTGGCACAGACGGCAAACGATTTCATTTATTTTTTCTACATATGTTATTTGGATGATTCTAAGTAATAAAAATGATAGGAGAACTCATGTATAAATTTGAGTATTTTTATCTATTTATGATCATAAATCACCTGTAGTGAGCAGAGTATGAAGGATGAGGGAAATTGCAGGTGAAAAAATGATCATATGACACTAAAATAATGTCGGTACGTGCTTTGGAAGTTAAGAAATTAATTATTCACTGTGATTTTTCTGCTTAAAAAAAGTCTGTCGGCATGTGCTGTCATCTGCTTTGTTTGTTTCCGTGCAACAACCGAGCCGCTTGGTCCGAGCATACTCTCTTGTCCACAATTTTTTTTTAAATTACAGCATGCTGCTTAGAGAAAGTTGCTTTCATTAGTACCAGATAACAAATTAATGTTTCAGTAGTTTATAACTTTGGGGCGCGCTGTGTCATAATGTAAAATAATACCGCCATCTGCTCCATGATTACCAAAGTAAAATTAAAAACTGTAAATCCTTGTTATTTTTTTTTTGGGGGGGGGATATTGTTGAGGAAAACATAAGTTATCGTATATACAATAATGTTCTATAGTTGCTGGTTAACCCAAGCACCTATTACCATGTTAGGTTGTATAATTTCACCCTTATGTGAAAAAACTAGCTAATATAAATGATAAAATTATAGTTTCGGTCATCGCTGTATTTAGATATCCAAGCCTACCTAACCTATCCTAATGTAAACAACCTAACCTTACCTACCTAACCTAACTTAGCCACAGAGCCCAGGAACTATATCTAACCTAACCTAACTTAGTCACAGAGCACAGGAACTATATCTAACCTAACCTAAATTCCCAAGATTCCCAGGACGACCGAAACTGAAATAATACCAATATAACTGATGCAAGAGGAAGAACGGTCATTGGTGGAGCTTCACTAACTGTACAAACACCAGTCACTAATATCAATTTAATTAAGTAATTTTTAAGAAATTTTTTGGGGTGATGGTATCAATTTTAGATCCATTAAGAGCTAACAAAATAGATCTATACACAAATCACAAACTCTTGGTGTGTTTGTCATGCCATCCTTCACATTTACCTCAATATTAAAATTTCCTTTCCAAAAATGCCATTAAATCTGATCAATCACAACAAAAATAAGTAAAATATTACCTGATAATGGGTGAATGCTGACATAGTGTGGCTGTAGTGGTAAAATAGTCACAATTATTGATAGCCTCTTCCCGAGTCACTCCTGGACGTTGGTGTTAACTCACCACTCATTCTGCTAACCACAAATAACACAGTCATCATTTCAATCAATTATCATTAAATAAGGAAGGTATTTATAGTATATGTCTTGCTTTTAATACCTGAAATTAAATAAAGTAAGATGGTTTTGTCAGGTCCCAGAGTACAGATGTCACTACACTTTGTTTAACACATCATTGCTCACTTCACCAGTATCTTTTATCTGGTTATTTATTAATTCAACTACCAAACACATGATGATAGAGACAAATAACATGTAAGTTTGTAATACACAGTTTACTAGCACCACCATCAACGGGATATCAAAACTAATCTTCATTTTGTTTCAGAGTAATAGCCAGTGTATTACAAGGGCTTATTATATATATTTAGCATTAATGTAAATTTCCAAACTACATATACACTTCCTACAACGTTAGAATAGAGGAACACTTCAAATTAGGTAATGTAGATTGATTGATGATTGATTGGTGATTATATTTCTTGTGGATAGTTGTTTAGACTATAACTAATATGTCTCACTAGAGGTCCAGTTAGGGTCATTCCCAACGGGCGGGTGTTAGGAGACAGGAGTTAATGAGAGAACACCTGCGGTCTTTCCGAGCATCACTGTTCTCACATCCTACCTGATCGGGAACCAAAGGATCATCACAGGCAGGAGAGGAACACTGGCAGGCTTTATCCTCCCTTGGCGACGGTGGCGGCGCCCGGCGGCTGCGGTCTACAAAACACATTAAGCCTATTACTTGATACTGTTCGATAACACCCAAATGTTCAGTAAACAATGTTTATATATAGTCAGTAGGTTAGTGGCATCCAACTTTAGATATCTAGGAACAATCTCTCAAAGTAGTGCAGTGATTGTGTGTTATACACCCCGGCCGCCTGGCGCCGCCACCATCGGCGGGGACTACACCATGAGTGCTCCCTCCTCCTGTAGTGCCACAACCCCTTGGCTCTGACCAGTTTATTGAAGGACCACCCACCTCTTTTTAGTTTTACTCCAGACTAAGGGTCCTATTGGAAATAACCATACGAGGGGTTTCTGGGCTATCTTTGATCAAATTGCCTTTCTGTTTACCTTGTTGTACAGTATACCTGCAGTGTCCAGGTACATTGGAAACTGAATACCTGAGGCCATCGTATACCGGCAATGACTACTGTACAGTATAGTTTATTTACTTAATGAACTGTATGTTTGCATAGCCTAATCTATATACATGCCAAACTTAATGTAAACCTGTATGATGAATTTATTGAATTATTGTTGTTGTTGTATTTAAATGGTGTGAATTTTCTGTACTGTATTCTAAATTCTTTAAAAGCCATTATAACTGCTCGGCGTTATAGATTTAAAGTAACTTTTTTGTCTTTTCTTGTGTATTGTTGATAAAATAAGTGGTAAAGTTTTTTTATAATAACCCTCAATATTTGATAGGTTTACTAATGTTTCTTTTGATTTCTCTTCTGTTACTGTATTTCATTCTTCCGTTTCCCTTCATGTATGCAAATGTATATCTGACTGGAGGTCGTCATCTAGGGTGTGTTATGGGGGGGCTGTGAAGCTGACCCCTTTCCCATGTTAACAATACAGTATTTCTACTGGGTCACGAATTTATAATTGTGTTGTGAATTTCTCTTAAGTAGAGATATACTTATGTTCTCAAAAAGTCCCTGAAATCGCCGAACATAATTCCTGGATAAGGCCTTGATGTTAAGCTAAATAGGGATGAAAGTTTAATAAGGTTTAAAACGCAATTCCAGTGAGGTAATTCTGATGCTGACTAACATTAAATTGCAAGACCATTGTCTTTCAGTAGGTGTTGTGTTGGCGGGTGATGTTCGCCTTGCAACGCCGGCGAGAAGTTGACGGATGACGAATTAGAGGATGATGTGGTGTGGTGTGGTGTGGTGTGTGCCGGGTGGCGAAAGGTCACTGACGGTGCTGTTGTAGTGGTCTTGTTTACAGGTCTTGGTGGAGTAGCCATTGTTCAGGGGTGTTACTCTTATTGTTGCTAAACATTTGTTGTGGTATTCACTATAGATGTTTATAGTGACCCAATAAACGTTCTTTAAGAGCCTAGAGGTGGTTCACGGTCTATCTACAGTACGAACATTTGTCCTGGTGTGACAGTCCTGTATAAAGATCCCTCGGGTGATGGTAAAGTCATAAACTTGAAGTCATGTTTTCTTCATAAGACTCAGCGACTGTAACCTTTCTCCTCTTTCATTTCTATTAGCCAACCAACGTGTTCCCTCTTCTCGCGCCTTTCCCCAGCCCGAAAGTCACCCATTATAACTAAGTCTTCACTGAACTTCATTGCTTCTTTTACCTTCTTTACATCTACACAAACCTTTTCTAAGCGCTCTTCCTTGCAATACACCTTTTCACATATCCGTTGAGACATTGTTACATAACTATTTGACAAATTTCATAACCGAATGACAGAACACATATCGAATGACAATCTAAAATAACTGTTGGTGTTATGTCATTCTCAAACTATATGGAGACTGTCGGCTTATTGTTCACGTCTGTCAACTTCATAACTTATGTCAATCACTTCCGTTAGCATGAACCAACAGTTATTTTAGATTGTCATTCGATATGTGTTCTGTCATTTGGTTATGAAATTTGTCAAATAGTTATGTAACAATGTCTCAACGAGTATGTGAAAAGGTGTAATATATTGGTGCACAAGCTTAAACTACTGACAAATCCAAGGTTACGAAAAAATGTTCAGGTACTGCCTCGAACTACCCTGCTTAAAACAATAAGTACACCTCTTATGCATTTCACCATCTTAATATACATAGAAATATTCTTCTTCACTAATTAGTACCATAAATTACAATGAGTTTGTAGCATTTGATTTCACAAGACATTTTATGAGATATTTCCTTTGCACACTTTCTCAATCGTGTTCCTTCAGTAAATCATTAGTAGGCGGCTCGCTCTTCTTGCTCGTGAGTCATTGACAGAAACATGCAGGCTTAATATCGTAATTCAGCCATAGTGTACATTAACTAATATTATCATTGTGAGGCAACATAGACAAATACAACACTTTGTACTACTTAAAACCAATGAAATATTGGGAGTGAGTTCGGTCATAGGATATAAATATTTACAGTATTAAATCTTATTGCTAGGCAGAACATATTGTACCAGTAATAAGTATTAGAATAAGATAGTTCCTGGAATATCGCTGATGAAAACACATAACAAGTCTGCTGTAAAATATTGGAACCTCTTGGACATATACTGTACAGTTTATATGTATCCGTCTACTACACACTTTTTGTTTTTCTCTCGATGAGTTTTGTGACAAAGAGCCTCGTTGATGGAGTGGGCCTTACAGTAAACATTTTATCTCCACCTTTGAAGGAATATAAAATAAAACTAGTTCAGGAAAGTTACACCACTCATTTATTTTTTTACATCTGTACAATAAATAATGGTATAAGTTTAATACTCTAATAATTTTGTGGTGTTCGTTGTGTTTTCAGCCCCAGTCAGCCACTCACCTGGTCACCATCCTCAAAGGTTCGAGTGTTAAAAATCTTCCTCTTTGGAGTTATGAAAATGCATACATTGGTTTACTTGAGTTTAGATACAGTACAAAGACGACACTCAGAATGGCCTTGAAATTGTACTGACACTCACTTTTAACTTCCAGGGAAACAATAACACGAATCTCTGAGAATCTGGATTTAGGTTCTGTTCGTAGCTGGTAGTGTGTAGCTGTTACCCTCACTTAGCATGAACTACACGCCTTATACAACGAAGGCATATTACTGTATTTTAATATAACATCCAAGATACTGTCCTGTTGATGTTTTAGGCTAACAGTTTCAAGTGGTGAATATCGGCGAGATTTAGGAGGCTGCCTCAGAAGATGTTTACACTACCAGCCAGTCACCGGTACTGCATATGGCTAACTCTAAACAAAATCATTCCTACCACAAAGAAAAACAAATCTAACGTAAAGATATAAAAATAGCATAAATCACACCTGCTCTAACACAGTGCCACGTTATGTTCATATTTTCCCTCAATACACCTGTGTTTCCTTACTTCATTTCTTGAGTGTATAATATATGTACGCTATATACCATTTATATCATTCTCTTACAGACGAAGCCAGAAAAGAGCCGCTGTAGGTGTACTGAGTTGGCAGCGTCTTGTGTAGTTATCATGGTCACCTACTGTACACCCCCTGAACTTCCCCTGCCCCGAGAAATGTGTTTATGTACCACGGTCAGTAGCTCCCAGGAGTAACACGTTCAGCCATGCCATGACACAACTGACTGGTGTAAGATCACAGCTGTTTAAGGTAAATTTTATTGCTATCATGTGATGAGTTTACCTGGAGTAATATGGTGATGTGTGATGGTAGTATAGTGGTGGTGTTGTGTGGTGTTGGTGATGTGTGGTGCTGTTGGTGTGTGGTGCTGATAATGTGTGCTTGTGGTGGTGGTATAATGGTAACGTAGTGGTGATGTGTAGTGATCGTAATGTATCCCCCATGTGTTATATAACCTTACTTTAGTACTGTATCCCCCATGTGTTATATAACCTTACCTTAGTACTGTATCTCCCATGTATTACATAACCTTACTTTAGTAATGTATCCCCCGTGTGTTACTAAACGTCACTCCTGGACGTAATGTTTTGATTTCAGTTTCTGTTTTCTTAATGATAGTTTGATTTCTAAATTTGATATTCAATTAACTGTTAATTCTTTCAAGTGTTAGAGCTCTCTGTTGTACTCATTCTTTGCTGGGAAACACCTAGATGACTCGCTGGGTGGGTCGGTCAAGGGAACTAATGATTGTGTCAAATGAGTTCAGCATTATAAGTCAGGTAATGCTATTTATTATCAATGATGAGTTTGAGTACAGGAAATAAATGTCCTTGGTGTGAGTAACTCTAAATAAATGTAATAATTTCGTTACTTTTGAACATGGTGATCGTGTAAATATTGAGGTTGTTTTTACCATTGACTAAATGTGTCAAAACCACTACTGTGTTAGTCACTCCGGTCTATAGCTGTCATGTAGCCTTGGTCATGTAGCCTTGGTCATGTAGCCTTGGTCATGTAGCCTTGGTCATGTAGCCTTGGTCATGTAGCCTTGGTCATGTAGCCTTGGTCATGTAGCCTTGGTCATGTAGCCTTGGTCATGTAGAAGTAAAGAAGGTTACAACTAAACCGTGAACAGTTCAGTCTTGTCATATTCTTAGACATCCCTCGCTGCATAACTCTCAAGATTTAAGAAACTTAGCTAAACAAACTTCAAAATAATACTAAAAATAATTCTGTTTGAAAATAAGAATACATCTCTAAAAGTTCGTTAAGCTGAATGAAATAAAATTTAACATAAAGTTTAGTGTGACAAAATATGGAGGAACAGGTGAGATCTGGTGGTGCGTGAGCGGCCACCACCTGACGATGACTCACACATGACAACAGACAAATGATCGATTTATTTTGTTGACTCTGTTATTAAATTTTGCTGGAAGATGTAAAATATATATATATATACAGTATATATAAAACCACTTCTTGATATATCTTACAGAAGAGCCTTTCTACCTAAGTACGAATAATATGCTTTAAACTAAACTAGCTGGAGCGGAGCGCGGTCAAGCACATGGGAGCATGAAAGTTATGTATCATTGTCGGCGTAATTCACTGTATCTGTTTCTCATATTAGGGAAAATAGGTCAGTTTCATCCATAACACTTGGCATTATCTACAGTTTACTGCACTAAAGAGTAAAAATGAGGTGTTTCGTTATAAGTTTCACATAGAGACAACTTATACCACCATACTGTGGTGGAAGAGCCATGCACGCTGTTTGGTCGCATCATCGCGGACAGACAAGAGTGAACGGGACTAAGATGCACGCTTTCCCTCTCTTGGGTAAATAAATGTTGGTATAGTTTACTTGGAACAACGAAATTCATAATTTTCACAGAGTTCGAACAGTAGCAAAAACATAATTTGTTCAGTAGTAGTCTAGATCATTGGCGAACTTTAACTATCAACTGTAGGATATATACTTATCTAAAGCACAGGCCAGGAAGTGCACGGTGACAACAAGCTTCTCCGTGTCCGTCATGTTGGGCTATTGTTGCTTTCTTGTGTTGAACGTTTAGAAAATATATTTTTTATACTAGTAGACTAAAATACCAGATAACTTTGTTAATAGATGTGAGGTTTGTTAGGTTATGTTAAGTTTGTTTAGGTTAGGTTTGGTTAAGAAAGGTTAATTTGGTTCATTTTACCAATTATTAATTATATCGTTGATGCATCTTGGAAACTCGTGACAACTGCTGACCATTTCTGAAGTACTAGTTATTACTACACTCTATAACTTAACATTCATAAAATGAACCAAACTAACCAACCTAATGAAACCTATCCTAATCTAACCTTACCTAAACTAACTTTACCTAACCTAGAATAATGCAACTATCTTGTATTTTAATCTCCTAGAAAACAAAAATATGAAAGATTCCCCCACAAAGAGTATGGTGAACGTTTACACCAACAAACTAAATATGGAGCACCAAACATATTCTTTAGTGCACTTCTCGGACTTGTCATGTAGAAGGCATTTCTTTGGTAGGTAGGGAACGCCTATGCTCTAGACTACTGCAAATTTATCAATCAACAGACAATGTTTTAGTTCTTGTGAATCATCCAATTGTATGAGACTATTTAATCCTTTCCAGAATTTCATAAGAGGATGTACACATTATTACGCTCACCGAGGTTATCTTGTCTGTTCTCCCACAACGCCTGGGAAGGTTCATATCTAACCTCTCTCTAACCGTCTGGCGTTAGTCAAGGCGTTAAAGTTTTTTTTTATAATGTCGATGCCTCTGACGTCATTAAGTAAAACCCAGAATTGTTTAAATATTTTTATCCTTGTCTACATGAACTAGAGATTTACTGTATCACGTAAAATGTCCAGAAAAACGCTTTTTACGTTCCAATTAAATTGCTGTCTGCACAAATAATGCACAAAATATTAAAATCTAAAAAAAAATAAATAAAAAGTCATTCAAGCATTTATGAAGTGTTACCAAAGTTTGTAATCATTAATAATTATCACAGTTATAACTAATGAACTTCCTCATATTACCTGACCTTCCTCTTCCCCACATACTGTCCCGTCAGCCTCGACTAAGAACGTTATATATGTATGACCCCGAACTTGGTGCTCGACTTTCCTTATGTTCCCTAAGTCTCAAACTTTGTGTGAAACTTATATAAAAAAAAACTTGAGTCTTCTTGAATAGACAGAAGAGTTTCTCAAGTGGTTATTCACAGTCCAAACGACCTTCAAGATACAGTAGTAATGGGCGCCCCTGACCTGGCCGGCGTATATTATTAAACCAGTTGGAAAAAAGCAAGTATACAGCATGTACAGTACAGGGCGAGGCCTCAGGTGACGGCGCTCATATCGACGGTCTGGCCTTCCGACTGTAGTTTTTGGGGAATTCGTCCTCATTCACGGTCTTGGCCGGGGCCTGCGGGGAGACGCGGTGTTAGTGCATACTTATAAAACATCAATACAGGGGTACAATATTTTGACCAGCCTCAGTACCAGATATGTGTTCCAGGGTGATGAGTCACACTAACTCAATCATGGACAGCTGCAGAAACTTACTGGGGTCAATAACACGTGACTCTATAAAGGTGAATTTAACCATTGGAAAAATACAGTATAACAAATATATATTATGAAGATGAACAGACGTTGAACTTTGACTGTTAAAATATGACAGAATAATATCTTTTAATACCAGGTTTTGTAAACGTTACTATTGCTTAAGAAACTACTTCTAATAATTCAGTATATCACCAGATTCAATTTACAATGTAGTCTGGGTCTGCTGCTTATGTTTCAGCTGAAGCAGGAGCAGTTAACACAGTGTACAGTACAGGGCAAGATACATGACAATATTGGTCAGTGATTATCTAAAACCGGTAATTCAATTATCCGACCATTCAAATACTGAACAATCAATTTTTAAAAAGAACACATCACAGGTGCCAAAAATCGTCGCTAACCAACTTGATCTGTCACCAAACAGCCCACCACACCTTCTACTAGCCCACCACACCTGCTGCTAGGTTACGAGAGGAGGGAGTGATGATAATGGTGGAGTCAAGGCAGCCACTAGTTAGGGAGCACCTCCATCCACTGTATCATCTCACAATATATCAGATAACAACACGGATTGAGGCTCAGGTCGCGACAGTGTGGTGGATGATTAAAGTGTTTCAGTGAGGGGCTGGGTGAAGGTCTGTTGTGGTGAGGGGCTGGGTGAAGGTCTGTTGTGGTGAGGGACTGGATGAAGGTCTGTTGTGGTGAGGGACTGGGTGAAGGTCTGTTGTGGTGAGGGACTGGGTGAAGGTCTGTTGTGGTGAGGGACTGGGTGAAGGTCTGTGGTGAGGGCTGGGTGAAGGTCTGTTGTGGTGAGGGGCTGGGTGAAGGTCTGTTGTGGTGAGGGACTGGGTGAAGGTCTGTTGTGGTGAGGGGCTGGATGAAGGTCTGTTGTGGTGAGGGGCTGGATGAAGGTCTGTTGTGGTGAGGGGCTGGATGAAGGTCTGTTGTGGTGAGGGGCTGGATGAAGGTCTGTTGTGGTGAGGGGCTGGGTGAAGGTCTATTGTGGTGAGGGGCTGGATGAGGTGGGGGTGTGGTAGAGGGCAGGTATAAGGGTGAATAATGTAATTGATTGCAGGTGTCACTGATATTAGTTACCTGTGATCAACAACACCGTGAGGACCAATACGCGTTAACCCCCCCCCCCCTTGTCACCACTGGACTGGGAGTATAGTATATATATGGTTGTAGTTGTGACCTGTGGGTGTATGTTAACGTGAGGGTGTAGGTGTAATGGTGACCTTTTTCTGTATGGATGATTAAGGTGTATTGGTGAGTTAGGTTAAGTTAGGTTAGTTTACGCGTGACCTGAAAGTGTTTATGAGGTGTACAGAGTAGCGGTGACCTCAGAGTGACCTGTTGCAGTGTGTGGGTGGAATATAAACATTGCTGAGTCAAACACGTGATCATATTCTAGACGTTTTGCTTACGAAATTCTACTGGATGAGTATTAACCTCTCACTAGCCTTCGTTATTTATCCATTCTGCTGCCTCAACTTTTCAGTATTGGTAGTTTGATCTTTCTCTTATTTTCATTTCTTACCTTTAACTTTAATTACTGTACATTTATTCTATATATTCTATCTTTAGTTTACTTCTTTTGCCTGAGTTAGTTTTTCTATCATATTTCCCTCAGTCTTGTATTGTGGTATATTGAATACTATTATGTTATACCTCATATTGTTTGTTCCCTTGATGGTGTCTGAGGAACGTGGAACCATTACAAGTAGTTGGGTGAGCGGTACAGCGCCTGTGGGTGACCTCATTACACCTGGCTGCTGAGTGATTACCAAACTTTATGTTGAGGAAGCAAGAGACAGTGCTGGTGTTCGGTGGCCGTTGTGGGAACTAATTTGTTTTAACTTCACAATTTAAAGATGTTGTTATAACCAAAATAAAGCAAAGTGTTGGCTGGGTGAAATATTCTCTTCGGAAACTGTTATAAATTATTCACGAGGTTATTAAGATAAAGGAACAATAATATATAGTAAGATAAAGCTGTGTGACGTATAACTACAACATTACACTTTATTTATGAATAATTGTTCAGATTGTGTTCTTATCCTAACGCCCCCCCCCCCTCACCGACTTACCTCCCTGCCAGGAATCTCCACCGGTCCCTGAGGCAGTTTGGGTAGGTGAGGTCTCCTCCTGTCCATACGTTCAAGAAACTTCTCAAACTGCTGACGGAGGTCGTGCTCGGAGCGGCTGGCGGCGGCTGCACTCTGCTCCGTCTCCTCCCCGACCTCGCTCTCCTCGTCCACCTCCTGAAGGGGGAACACATGTTAGAGCAGGAAGGCTGAGAGCAGCTCACTTGATATAAAACAAGGTAAGATTTACGACGAGACTTTGCTACAGGAAAATATTTCACAAGTGCTAAAGGACAAAATGAGATGAATTATTAACGTGTTGGACATAACTCTTAACATTAATTATCACTACTCCATTATTGAGACAGAGGGCCCCACAGGCCTAACAGAGGGCCCCATGACGGCTCATGTGAGATAGTGAAGATACAATACACTGTACTAAACCCTCGGTAGTCAAGGTGGCAGCGTGACTGGTACTGCACTCGACAGCCGTCACTTCCCCAACAGTAAAGTTAGGAGGACATTTACAGCTATGGCCAAGATTGTTCTTATCCCACCATTCATTTTGTCCTTATATATCGTTGTCTGACTCGTAGTGGTATATAAGTCTATTCTCTCTGACTCAGTGTATCTGACGATAAACTTGAGTCTACACTGATGGGCTTCCTACAGAGTCCTTGGAATAATCACTAACGTAAGATAATGCTATTGTATTGCTGTTGTGTATCAGTGTTGCCAACCATGGGGAACTATCCCCAGATTTGGGGAATCTGAGTCACGAAAGGGGGAAATGGGGAAATCAACTGTAAATTTGGGGAATTTTGGCAGAGAGGCAGAATATTTGATGCAGTTACCCATAAAAATTTAATTTTAGTACAATAGCAGAAAGGATTTTCTCAGCTGTAAACAGTCTCAAAACAAAACAGAGACAAAAACACTCGTTGGGCTGATCCATCCTTAGAGATATGTGAGAAATAAACCGCTTGTCTGCGTCTACCATTGTCTGCGTCTACCATTGTCTGCGTCTACCAGTGTCTGCGTCTACCATTACCACTAAAACATACGCTTCTCAGGCCTATCTCAGTTCTTTTGTTACTCATTTATCCTCTTATTACGTTATATCTCCTAATCTGTTTCTATTTATCTCTTTTTCTTCTCCTTCCTCGTTCTATCTTATCTTTCTTTACTTCACCTACTACCTTCTTCTTCTTCTTGAGTGAGTCAATAAGTGGTGGAGCTAAAAACAGTATCCCAAGTAGGAGGAGATGGCCAGGCTTTATATGTCAAGATGAGTGTTGGGGTCAAGAGTGCGGGAGAGGCTACACTAATAAGGTGGTGTTGACGCGCTATACAGGTTGTGGCCATGGTGTTGCTTAATCCAATTTATACAAAGATAAAGAGAATAATAATAACAAGGAACTGATATATATATACCCATTCATGTATGAGTGATATATACCCAATAAGTATGTTGTATAAGTGTTAATGCCTCGAGGGAAAGCTTATGTTAGAGTAAATAAAACAATGTATACCAAGTGTCGCTGATCAGTGATGTGTGGAAACTAACTAGAAATATGGAGAGTTACAGTGTGGCGTCTTGGTGTTACAGGATAGTATGTATCATAACTGTATCTTGGTAGAGTTTGGTTAATGATTTAGTGATGCGATGAACAATAAGAGGGAAGGTAGATATTTATTCAGTACAATCGTAATTCAAGTTTATATTTGGTTTGGCATGTATATAGATAACAGGTATACAGTTCAGCATGCATACGGATAATACAGGTATACAGTTCAACATGTATATAGACAATACAGGTATACTATACAGTTCAGCATGTATATAGTCAACGCAAGTATACAGTGTAGTACCTAGACAATGCGAGCACACGAACAATGGTAACCAGTACTCAGCGTAGCTAACATGAGATTCAATGTCACGAAGTGTAAGAGGATGCACCTGGGGCGTACCAACGGTAAGGAGGCGTATCATATGTCCCAGCGGGATGAAGAAACTGCACTAGTTGAGATTGAATGTGAGAAGGACCTGGGTGTGTCTGTTGACAATGAGCTGAAGTTCTCGGGCCATTGCGAGAAGAAGGTAAATCAGGCAAATAAATTATTGGGTCTTATAAGAAGGTCGTTCAGATATCTAGACGGTCCGTCCCTCGTAACGATCTTCAAGAGTGAAGTGCTTCCCCATCTGGAGCACTGTCACCCCGTCTGGTCCCCGAGATATGCTAGGGACTGTCAATTGGTTGAAAATGTTCAAAGGAGGGCCACCAAACTGGTGCCTGCACTTCGGCACCTCAGCTACCCTGAGAGATTGGCGCGCCTGAACTTGCTGAGCTTATATTACAGACAGGCAAGGGGTGACCTAATTGAGGCGTATAAACATCTCAGGGGGCACTACTCAGTCGAGTGTCCTTACTTGGAGCTGGCGGACGCTCGCCCCACAAGGGGTCACAGCTCAAGATTAAAGAAGCCGCAAGTCCAGAAAACTGTGAGGGCAAACTTTTTCGGAGTGAGGGTTGTAAACTCTTGGAACAATCTACCAGAGAGTGTTGTGACGGCACCGAGTGTGAGATCTTTCAAGACAAGACTTGACCAACACTGGAGCGGGTTCAGGTACATTCAGGAGCCGGTGCATGCCCAGTATTTGCCAACAGTGCGTGACAGAGACGTGACCGATCGTCCGGGCGGTTAGCGAGCCGATCTTTTGGTGAAGAGGATAAATGAAAAGGAAAAGTAATCAGAGACGTGACCGATCGCCCAAGCGGCTAACAAGCCGATCAGAGGCGAAGAGGATAAAAGTAAACAAAGTCAACAGATATTTATTTCCAGTTAGGGTTATTTGCTCAGGTGGAAATATGCTGTTGTTACCGAGAAATAAATACAACTAAAAACTCTAAAATCTTGGCGCTGGGGAAATAACAATAATCAAGGAGACATTTGACTCATTAACGAAGAATAAGATCATCTACGACTGTGAAATGTTAGGTTAGGTTAGGGTAGGTTAGGTTAGGGTAGGTCGTAAAACCTCCAAGCGGTAGAAACATTGTGGTTTTCTTACGATTAATTCTACTTTCATGGCATGATGGTAAAACAAGGTTGAGTCCTAGTATTGAGCGCTGATATGATAGATTGTCAAAGAATGTCGCTAAATACATACGTCAACGCCCACAACTGTAGAGAGTCACGCAACAGAAGAATGTGTGGAATGGGTACGTGGAAATAGTAAATACATGCATTTAGGTAGAGCCTAGTGACTGGTAGTTTCTGTTTTCATGGAGTGTTGTCCATTACCCGAGGAGAATAGTGTTAGTGAAGGTACAGTCGCCTGCACTTATACCTGGTACAGTGGCTGGTTCGTTTTGTGAGATGTGGCACTCTGTGTTTGTTTACATCGTATTAAAAAACCCGGAATGGCCCTAAGGAACCTCGCAATGATAGCCAGTCACCTACAGGAAGTGACGTCACCCACTCACTAGTCTCACAGCCTCACTAGTCTCCACGCCCTCCCCACCCCGCCCCGCCCCGCCCCACCCCGCCCCCGCCTCACACAAAGTATTCTTTCCTGCAGGAAAATCAATATTGTTGTCCCCCAGTTGTCGGACCTCAAGAACCGTGTCCTCCTCTTCCTTGGATTGTCCTCACCCTGGCTTTGTTTGTTAATCCTTTCCTTACCTCTCTCTCTCTCTCTCTCTCTCTCTCTCTCTCTCTCTCTCTCTCTCTATTCCTTAAGTCTTTACTCTTCTTCTCTCACTCCCTTGTCCTCACTTTATCACAGTTGCTTTGTCTTCATCTTGTCCTCATTTGTTTCCTCCTCAATTTCTGTCTTGGTCATTTTTACACTTTATTCTTTCGTTACCTTGTCTTCCTTCCCTCTTGTTCTTCTCAACCTTTATAGTTTCTTTGTCTTCACCTCCCCAAGTATAGATGGTTATTTGAGTGACTGTACTGTAGTTACACACACACACACACACACACACACGTTGGCTGTCAGTATCATCTTGGACTATTCTTTAAGTCCTTCTCTTTAGGCGATATTTAAAGGTTACAAAAGTGAGGGGGAGTGGTGGTGGTGGTGGTGGTATAGGGCGGGAAGTCACAATACAACAGTGTCTGGCTCCCTCACCAAGTTACTAACAATGGTTGTTATTCAGAGACCTGCCTACACGCTCCCACATTTGTAAAAGTTGCCATTGTTTTGATATTCACTGAAGTCACGAGCCGTGTGAGTGGACTCGGCAAGATTTTTTTTAGGTCGTGTGGTCGCTGGTGCGTGTGAGGCCGACACCCCCCCCCCTGTTGGGTGCTGTGGCCTCATGTCATCACAGCATAGAACTCTCTCTCTCTCTCTCAGTGTTTATTTGTTTTTGTTGCTTCGAAAACATAAACAGGAGTTAACAAGTCAAGGCGGCCCAAACAATGACGTCATGTTTACAGACTTTACATCATTCGTAAGTAAACAATAATACTATCGTCATTCACACAGTCAGAAACAACGACAGTTACGTACAGACGGAGACAAAGAGTGAGACAGTCATTTACACAATTATCTCTAATCATTCACCTCATCACCAGGTAAAACACAACAGTATTAGAACCATCTTTCCCGCGTCGCGTCACCTACGGCAGAGGATGACTGTTGGCCGCCCACCGCAAACCTTGAAACCTCTTCCGGACGTTATACACGGGAAGGATTTCTTTAAAACCCTTCTCACCGTAACCTAAACTAACCCTTACCCGGGGAAATAATATGTGTTAAGTAGGGAAAATAATATGTGTTAAGTAGGGGAAATAATATGTGTTAAGTAGGGGAAATAATATGTGTTAAGTATTGTCAGAGATTTATTGATAAGTAACACTAACTTAAGAATCGAGTTAAGGCTTGGTGGCCATCAAGGAATGAAAAGGGATGATTTGGGAGAGAGAGAGAGAGAGAGAGAGAGAGAGAGAGAGAGAGAGAATTCCATGCCACTCCCGTATTTCCGTAGAGATTAAATTAAATTAAAGAAAGCCTTTAATGTTAGCTGTTGGTCGGGATTAGACGTAAAAGGTAATCTGATCCCCGGGATAATGTCACCTTCCTTGGAACTGATTGTCTCCAACAGTTACGACCTGATTGACCTGATTTACAAGACGACGACAACTGATCTTGATATTGGGATAAT